TCACCAGGCGTTTTTTCACCTGGACTTCGTCACTCTATACATTTATGATATTTGCAGCACAGGAGCACACTCTAGTCTCGACATTGCCTCCTCCTATCAGGCGACCTCCGAGCTTATTGCTGCAGCTATCCATCCTCCTCAGTGGTGGGGTGTCTGGAGTCTTGGTTTATCTGCCTCTGAAGGACGAAGAAATGGGATTAGGATCTGCAGTCTGCCTGCACTCCCTGATGCTCCGTTCTTCTAAGCCATCTTCTGCAGATGGACGTTGAATGAGAAATGTGCCTGAGTAGCCAGAACTGGAGAACACCCAGTTTTAGAGCTATCTTCAGCCTAAAGATGTCTTCAGCCTACTGGCATGGTGGTGTTGGGTTAACGGTTGGACTTGATGATCTTAGAGGTCTTTTCCAACCTTAATGACTCTATGATTCTATGATACTGGGGAAAGCTATCGAGCTGTGGCCGCTTAATGTTAAATCTAATTTAACTCACGTTTTCCTAGAAAAAAACTTGTTGCTGTTTATTCAGGAAGGGATTTAAAATTCCAATTTGCTAAATGCACCGTGCAGGGAGGAGATTATCAAATTTCTTTGACCTATCACTTGTTAATTCCAGAGATGGGAGATTAGATGTGGCAGTATCCACAGTAAACTGATTGCAGTTTTAATTGCACCCCCCCAGTGAGAACAGCTCACTTGTGTAAAACCCTCACAGTTTAGGAAGAGGTTTCTGGGAGGACTCATTTCCTCATGAATGCTATCTAACCACAGGTATCCCCTTTTTCTGTAGAAATATTTCTTGGTTCAGACTCACCCTGTTGTGAATTTGCATTCTGGCTTCTGCGTATCCCGCTTTATTTATGCCAAGCACCCTCCCCACAGAAAATGTTATCTTTGGCAGAGTGCCCTGAGGACAGGAGAGGAGGCTGGGAGAACTGAAGGAGGGCGGTCAGAAGAAAGCGATATCATCCTTATTAAAGCATTTTTAAAGATCGGCTTCCGTTGGTTGGGTTGCAAACCAGGCACTGGCTGATGGACCAGACTGGGGACAGAGCTCCAGGGTCCAGGTCCTGCTGTGAACAGGGGGTCCTTGTGTGGGACTGTAAAAAAGTAAACCAGTGCTCTTGGATGCTGAAAGTTAATTGGAGTTAGCTCCATTTTAATCTTAAGAAAGGATTTTTCCTTCTGTCTTGACAGACATCATGGCTTAATCCCCTTGAGTGAGTATTTCCAAGCTTTTTCGCAACATGGGTACCCCTTCTCTGGAAAAGCTGTGATGGGGATGCTTTCCTTTGCCTTTCCCGCTCTAGGACATCCCTGTCCCAGCTGTCTCCATCCAAAGGGCTGAGTGGGTTTTTAGACACCCTGGTGATAATGAAGAATGAAATGTGATTTAGCACCATGGGATGAGTTAGGTGCAAATACTGCTCAGACCCCAAAACTGATGGTCCCCAGGTTGGAGCATGCTGATGTCTGGGATGACCGGGGCCACCCATCGCCATCCCTTTGGTGCACTGGGATCCCTCTGTTCGCTTTGACCTAATGCCAATTTCTCCATTTGTGTTGCAGACGGAGTCCAGCTCACGAACAAAGACCCGCGGTGGGTCGGTGCCTGGTGGCTTGGTTTCCTGGTCGCAGCCAGTCTCGTGGCCGTGTCTGCGGTGCCTTATTTCTTCTTCCCGCAGGAAATGCCGAAAGAGGTAGGAGAGGTGCTGCGGTTTGCCCTTTTGGCATTGCACACAAGTATCTTATATTTATACACACGTTCCTCCCTTGCCGCCAGCATTAGCTGCTGCATCCGTGGGAAAGCTTAATGGATGTGATGATTTCCTTGGTGGGGCACTGAAACAGCACCTGTGTGTTGATTCCTCTGCAGAGGAACATATAGCACCAGGTAAGCCCTGTGTGGATTCAGGTCCTTCTCACAGCCACCCTCCTGGCTCACCTGGAGGTGGAACTCCTTCCCTTCCCGAGGGAAGCAATGGTCCTGCTCCTTCTGCTGCATCTCTTTATGGAGCTGGCAGGAGAGCTGCGCCGATGGCCCTTGTTTCCCTTCGGGAGGAGCCACATGTGCCCGATGAGGAAATCGGCCCCAGTTTATAGGAAATATGAATAATGCATCAGGAGCCTTTTCTTAGAAGTGGGTTGTACCCCGGGGGTGTTTGAAATACTGCGGCTGGAGGGCGGTTTATCTCCTTTCCACTGCAAAAGCCCCTTTTCACCACTCCCTGTCCACGGGGCTCGGGGTTAGCTGCTGCTCCAGCATCCAGCTTCACCCACCACCTCTTCTCACTGCGACCTCTTTGCTGACCAAAAGGATTTTAGACACTTTCTAGCCCCTAAACACCCTGGCTCTGTGAAGTCCTCAGAGATAACTGGCAGGGAAAAGCCTTTCGCAGCCTGGACCCGTTATTGCAAGCCAAACCGATGTCTGCCTGCCTGCAGCTTGCTCGGGGGATGCTGGAGCCCGCTGGTGGGACAGTACTTTGTGTTCACTGCCAGGGTTTTTACTTCTCCAGAGCCCTCCTGAGTGCTTCAGCGCTCACGCCAAGATGCGAAACAGCTTGCGAGCTTCCCAAGCACTTCGCTGGCTGCAGGTCCCGGTTTTCTGGCAACCAGCCTGTCATGAGGAATAACACAAAACAAATTGTTCTTTCAGAGGACGCATCATGCTATGGTTTTGAATGTTATTGAAGTTGCTGGGGACGCGCTTAGTGGGTGAAATTGCGCTCGTCTCGATGTCTTGGCCATACTCTAGCCTGTGTAATTGTCTTTCACATATATTTTACCTTGGGGCAGCGTCAAAACTTTCTTGTCTAAACAAGTCCATGCACATGGTGCAGAATAATTCTTCATTTCTCCTGCTGCTGCCTGAATTTCCACAGGAATGAGTGATTCTTAGGGAGATTTGGGCTTCACCTGCCTGGGAAAATGTGACCTGTTGTACCAGTTACGCTTCTGGGGATATAATGATCTACTCCTGGGTTATATATGCTGTGAGGTCTGCAAAGGTGCTGTGGTCCTGTGAGGTAATGGGGTGGAAACTGCTCAGCACTTTGCAGGATGAGGGCAATACTGAATGCAATCTGCCTGATTTATCCTTGTGAAGCGTGGTTCACTTTAAAGTCGTTACGGATGATCTATATTAGCAGAACCTGCTCGGTGTGCAAGGGTGGCACACTACATCTTAGGAGAAAGGTTCTTTATTAGGGCTGATGGGAATATTAATTTCATAAATGGGTCTTGAGAGAAAATAATGTACTTTGAACTAAAACAACTGTACTTTTTTGTAAGTAAGTGCTGTACTCTGATCAATCTGATCAGTTCTGAAGAGTTTAAGGTTGGATAGTGATTTAAGAAAACAGCAGGAGGATGTCACCTGCTCTACTGGCTGATATCTGTAGGGAATGCTTCCACATGGCTGAGCACCCATTTATCCCTTTGCAGCCCAGGTTTTCCTGAATTTCTTTCTATTTTACCATTTCCCCCAGAAAGCTTTTGGAAACTGTTTACAGTAAAAAATAATAATAGGAAAATAATTTAAGGGATGGCAAAATTCTGCCCCCCTTGCAGGACGCGAGATGCCAAGGCCAGCCGAGCCGGCTCGTGCCTGTCCTAAGGGTATCAGCACCGCCAGCAGCAGCAACGGGCCCTGCTTAAAAAGCCTCTTTAGAAACTTTGCCAGATGCTGTTCTGGGTAAAACATCTGTCTGCTGTGGGAGCACTCGAAGCTTTGTAGGAAATCTGCATTATCACGGTGATTTTCTGTAGGCATAGCAGAAGAAAAAATATAAATCACTTTCTCTTGCTTGCCCTTGGAGTAAATCAGTGTTCGGCTAAGGGTGTCAGCACAGGTGGGATCCCCGCTGTAGAATCACAGAATACCAGGTTGGAAGGGACCTCAAGGATCATCTGGTCCAACCTTTCTTGGCAAAAGCACGGTCTAGACAAGATGGCCCAGCACCCCATCCAGCCGAATCTTAAAAGTGTCCCATGTTGGGGAATCCACCACTCCCTGGGGAGATTATTCCAGTGGCTGATTGTTCTCATTGTGAAAAATTTTCCTCCTGTGTCCGATCGGGATGTCCTCAGGAGTAACTCGTAGCCATTACCCCTAGTCTTTTCCATGTGACTGGCTGATTGTTCTCATTGAGAAAAATTTTCCTCCTGTGTCCGATCGGGATGTCCTCAGGAGTAACTCGTAGCCATTACCCCTCGTCTTTTCCATGTGACTCCTCGTAAAAGGGGAGTCTCCATCATCTTTGTAACCACGCTTTAACTACTGGAACATGGTGATGAGGTCTGCCCTGAGCTTTCTTTTCTCAAGGCTGAACAAACCCAGTTCTCTCAGCCCCTCCTCACATGCAGGCTTCCCAGTCCTCTGATCACCTAGCTCCCTGTCCGGGCTCTGCAGCACGAAGCCCCATCCCCAGCACGCTGCAGAGGGGAAGGGAGGGATGGGGTCAGCGCAGGGTTTTACAGACCAGCAGATCAGCAAGAACGGACATTGTGACAACCTTTGGGTCACCCCTGTCTAAATACGGTTGGCATTTCCTTGACTGCCTTCCTTTTCAGGGTTTCTGCCTGTCCGAAGCAGGAAAAAACCTACCTGTAGAGCAACCTCAAGCTGCAAGTACTTGAAGCATCAGCTGGGCTTTTCCCCATGTTTGTAAAGCCCCAGCACAGTATCTTACCCACAGCAAATACCTCCAGGCACGGCAGCCATAATAACACATAGGAAAAGCACAGATCTGCTCTGTCCGCAGAAGAAGCTGAGATGTTTCTGCACCACCAGCTGTGGGTTTCATTCCTGGAGGCCAAAAGGAATTCCAGGTGCCCCAGACCAGGCTGTCCTTGTGCTACTTGCTGTCTGAAGACCCCTGGGACCACGCATGTCTCAGTAGATGATGAGGCTGCGTGGGAATAACGTGTCCACGCTAAGCTGTGGGTACGTTTCCCCGCTGCAGAGTCCACCAAACGAGATCACAGCAGCAAAGACTGGCCCAGGGCTCAGTCCTTGCTGCCCAAAGCGATATTTCTTCTCTCTTATTCTCGTCCTAACTTCATTTTCCTTTCTTTCTCCTGCCTCACTCTATACAACTCATCTAAGCCCTTGGTGGTTTCTCCAGACCACGGACCATCCTCCTCAATGGGCATCATCCAGCAAACACTGAGTAACAGCACAGCCCTCTGTGTGTTTGGAGACTTATTTGCCTCTCCCATCAGCAGAGACAGATCTAGATTATTTATTCTACAACCACATTCCAGCTTTACCTTTGTTTTATGGCTTCTTTCTTCGAAGTTCCTGGAATTACTTGTGCCCTTAATGTTAACATAAGGACAATGAGTTCGCTCTTTTGATCTTTTTTCATAAATCAATCACCCCAGACCCAGAACATTTTTATCCCTCTGCTTTGAAACTTGTCAGTAAGTATCCTGAATAATCCTATTTGAGGGACAATCACAGCAAAGCTATAAAGTTGTCATGATCTCAGGCGGGGGATGAGAGGATGAAGCTGTTACTGCATGAACGGTTTCCAGTCAAGACCAGTTTTTTTCCCAGTAATTCCAGTTTAATCCTGTCTCCATAAGCCTGAACCATTTCTTGGGGTTGTGTCCTGGATTGTGGGGAACTACTGCGTTTGAGCATTTTCCAGTTGCTGAGTAGCCAAAGTTTAGCTCGTGCTTTACCATCTGTCGCTGGCGACGTTACCGTATCCCAACCCAGGCAGTTGTACTCTGTCTGCTAAAGGCTTTCCCCGCAGTTTTGCTCGGGCACAGTGTCTGTCTGTCTTGCAGGCTTACCGTCTGTTGCATTGCAGCTGGTAAAGCACCTCCCCAGTCCCTGCAACTCCGCAGGTGACGTGGAGAGGGTTTGGAAAGGGGAAAGGTGCTCTCGGGAGCCCCTTAAACAAAAGCAGGAGCATTGCCCTGGCTCAGCATTTCTTGTGTGCAAGATCTGTCTTGTACACCCACTTATCTCCCAGTTCAGGTTTCGTTCTGTGACACTCCAAGGTCACGTAGAACCACAGATCTCCCAAACGCCGTACAAAGGGGGTGAGTGACACTTCCTCCTCGCCCTGACAAAGCCTCCCCTGTAATGTCAGCACATGTCATCTGCAAAGAGATGCCTCGTGAAGAAGCTCAAATGGATTTTATGGGAAGCAGGTCTACATGTCCCGGTCGTGTCCAAGCCCTGGCGGCTCCGGTTCGCTGTCACGCAATCCCCTATGGATATCAGTCCATCTCATCAGTGCTTTCCTCCCAAGCCTCACCATTAGGTGATTTCAGAAACTCATTTCCCTGCAGGTTGCAAAGCTTTGTTTAATCTCCAGTCTATAGTTTAGCCTTTAGTTTGTCATTCTGCCCCTAATCCTGATTAAATATTTTTTCCTACTCATTGCCATATTGGCATGGTTATAGAAAGCCTGCCTTTTGGGGGGCGAGGGAGGCTAGCTAGTCCTCCGCTGCCAAAATACTTCTCCATACCAGGAGCTCTGCTCTTCATCCATCCCAGCCACAAACTGGTTTTCCCGGTGCAGCACCGGTCTGGATCTGGTCTCCGGTGGTGGTGCAGCAGGGTCTGCACTCCCCCAGCTCTCTTGGACACACCATCCTCGGTTCTTCCTCACTTACTCCTTCCACGGCTGCACCATATGTTATGCAGATATAGACCTGGAGCTATTTGTCATTCTCCTCC